TACCCTAGCGAACTGCAAAGTTTTTCACTGATATTAAATCTCACCTTGAAAATGTATGTTTTTCAGAGGAAGACAATAGTAACTTAGGAAAATGTGATATTTGGTTTATGTAGAATTTAAAGATAAATTGCTATAGGTTCCTTTGAGGTTTACTTTATGACAAGAAGCAATATAAAAAAAGGTTCAAGTTTATTGTTTCAAGAGATTGTGATTACTCATCTCATATTCTAAAGTCAGCAAAAGTAGGAAACAATTATTTTTATTATTCATAACTCCTTAGATATGTGGCAAACATTTCTTATTATGCTCTAAACGAAGGTAGGGAGAGGGGGCATAATGAGAAGGGGAAGGCTTAGGGCATGTTAAGTAGATAGAACCTACATGATTTGGCTGTAAATAGGAGATGAGGATGGTCCTTCTTACAGACACCTTTGGGCACTTAAATATAGCCAACTGGGGTAGACAACCCAGTATCTGAATATGAAGAAGAGTTTAGTTGTTACTGGAACCAGTTAATTGGGCAAGAGGAATTCAGGGCTTATCAGAACTTCACCATTATCCAAATGTATATCCAAGAAACATAGTCTCAAGAAGTTGAAGTCGTTGCTCTTTCTGAGATTGAGTTATGAACACCAGTTGTAAAGGTGATGACACTCTTTGAGGGAAAACTAGCAGAATATGTCCCATATTCTATAAATATCTCTATTGCCTTGAAAGACTGGCAAAACTCAGTGGTGGGTAAGAGTCTGGCTTCCTCACTTGGGGTAATGAGCATGGGTATTATATGCAACTGATGAATCACTAAATTCTACTTCTGAAACTAATAGTACACTATATGTTAATTAATTGATTAAAAAAAAAAAAGAGTCTGGCTTCCTGTGTAGGTGCTTTCATCTGCATCTGGCTATGTATTTTCTCTCCAAAGCTAAGCAATTAGTTTTAGAATCTCTTTAGTTGTCAAGTACTTTTTTATTTGCTCATCTGAAAATGTGGTTTCTTCCACAGGAGCAGCTTCTAAATATTTTAAAGTTTTATCTTAATTTTTATGTTTTAAATTTAAAACATTTTGCCTTTATTCACTCATCAAATAATTATTTAGTACTATGATATATATATATATGTATATATATAGCAGCCTCTGTGGGATAAAATGGACATAGTTTTTTCCTTCAGGGAATTTATACATATACACACGTAATTATAGAAAGATTAAGCATTTAGTTATACAAAGACAAAAATTAAACATATAATTTTACAAAGGTTTATAATTACAACCTATAAGACCTGTGGAGGAAAATATGTAATAAGTGCAGAGCTATTCTGATCTGGGAAATGAGGGGAAATGACATTTAATTGGGACTTGAAGCGTTGGTTGGAAGGAGCCAAACACGTGGGGGACAAGGAGCTGGAAAATATGTGCAAAGGCATATTCGAGGAAGTGGAAGGACGTGTCTTGACTTTGGGAGACCACAGAGAGAGTTGAGGGAGAAGAGAATAGAATGAAAGCACTATGAGCCAGCATACCCAGGGCTTTGGGATCATTGTTGATGATGTCGGATTGTATCTTATGAAAAACAGGAGGCCTCCAAAAAGTTTTCAGCTGGGAAGGACATGACTAGATGTGTGTTTTTCAACAGACTTTCAGGCAGGCTGTCCTGTGGAGAATGGCGAGCAGGGAAACACAACTGGAGACAAGGTGACATTTTAGGCAATGATGGTGGAAATGGATTTGGAGATGAGCAAATGGATTCACTTATGAGGAAATATTTGAGAGGAAGAATGGATAGAGCTTGGTGACTGACTGAAGAATGCTCATAAACCCAGGGTGCAACGTGGTCTGGTTTCAGCACAGTATCACATCGAAACAATTATTATTCCCACAGAAAGACAGACTCGGAAGCATTTCAGAGATTTACTCAGGCTCTTGAGGAAACGCCACATGTCTTTACAGTATTATTTTTAATGCACAGTAAAACTTCTTTAAGAATCCTTTTTTGCCATCTCTCACCCTCAAAGTCTTTCTCACACTTAGGAAGAAGCATAAAAACAAAACTCTCCTCTCTGTGTGTACGCTAACATTCCCCAGCATCCGTCTGAAGTGGCTTCTCATTCTACCTCAGCTCTTTGTAGTCGGGGTTCAAGTACGTTCTGTGGCTTCTGAAATCCTTATCCCTTTGCTCGGTGGTTTTGGGATTCTGCACAAGAGAGCACAGCTCCAAAACGAATTCAGCAAATAAAGGGAGCAGAAAGTTGAATAGATGACTGTGTTTGCTGTTGTTTTTCTGCATAGTCAAATGTGTTCTGTGAGCAAGAGAAATGTGTGTGTGCAGATGGGTAGAGGAGGGCCCATTTATGGGGATGGGAAACATAAGAAAAGAGAAGGTGTTGGTGAAAACATGAGATCCTGTGAACGTGTTAAGTCTAGGCTGTCTTTTGATAGTCTAGGGTAGCTGTTCAGGAGCATGGTGTGCTGAGAGCTACCTTGTCAGAGTCAATTGTTAAATTTTCAAAGATTTCAAACACAGCCACTAAAAAAATTAAATTGTATAAATGTACGGTTAAATAAATTATATTAAAACAAAGGTAATAAATGCCTTTAAAACTCATCACCACCTATATTTTACTATTATCTATGAAGTTCCATGTCTACTGTAACAGTATGATGGAAATACCAAATAAGGGCATGCAACTGTGCATCTCTTGCCTTCAGTGACATGAGATTGGGAGCTGGAAATCAGCCACATTTGCAGTATTTAAACTACAAAAATTGGCAAAAGCTATGAATCAAGGCCTTCCCCACCCCAACAGCCAGTAACTAAATACTTGTCACCACCTCACTAAGAGACAACTGGGTAAATAAGTCCCGCCCTGGGAGACTGATCTGCACTGGAGTTACTGTTGTGGAAGGAACCAGAATGTACATGTGGGATGGTGGCTTCATGGACTTAAAACAAGGCCCCACGCTTAGGAACGTCCCCATGTTTGGTTTAATGCTTTGCTGTTGTCATCTTGATATTCTTAATTTTTGAACAAGGGGCAGCGCGTTTTCATTTTGCACTAGGCTAGTGTAGGTGGTAGAGAGGTTTGGGTTGCCTGAGGGCTACTTGGTTTACTGCCTTCCTTCCCTCAAAACAGGTATTCTGTCTTATTCCCTTGCTTGGTAGCATATTTGCACAGATAATCTCCCCATTCATTCTCTCAACCCGTGCATTCTTTACAACTGGCTCACAAAATTCCTTTCTCTTTTCTCTCTGTATTATTCTCTCCTCTTTGGTCTCCTTTGAAAACTGTGAAATTTCCAGGCATTAATGTATTAGGTAACTTTAATAAAAATGTTTCTGCTCCAGATGGCAATGTTTTACACATTTGCCTTTTAGATTAATATGACACGGTTGTCAAGGCAATTTTGGAATCACAGAGAATGAGGACTGAATTTTTGTGTGTGACCACAGGTAAGTTTCTTTGGTTTCTCTACTCCTTGGTTTCCTCATCTGAAGAAAGAACAATGCTTGCCTGAAGGTTATTGTGAGCATTTAATTAGGCAATCTACATAAAGACCCTAACGCAATGCCTGCTACCTGGTAAACTTTGGATTACTAGCAGTTATTATCAGTACTACTTTTGTTCATATATGATGCATTAGGAAGAGTCAGTAATGAAGTTTGCACACAACAAGGAGAATTCGGGGAGACTCTTCCTGGCCCCACAATATGTATGTCCCTGAGTGGATTGGACAACACCTCTTTACTAAAGTTCCACTGTCCTACCCAATCTACACGAAAGGCATGGATGTGAAGTCTTGGGCACAGACAGCTGTTTAGCCAGTTAGCCTTCTGGAGACAGTGAAAAAGCCCCTTCTCAGCCTAAAGTTAGGAGGCGGTAGGCGCTCAGAATATTGCAGGCTCCCCTCTTCACCTCTGTATCACCAACCTCTAGCAAAGCGCCTGGCACACGGGGGCGTGCATTTATATTAAGACTGCATGCTAATGCCACCCAGGCTTCCCCTCCATCCCCCGAAACCCTTACTTCTCCACTCTTTCTGGGGACGCCCCGGGCAAAGCCTAAGGGACTCGGGCGCGCGCCAGGACGCGTTCGCGGACTCGGCTCCGCGCGTGGCTGCAGTCGCTATGGAAACGACGAGAAGTAACAAGTCCATCCCCCCCGGGGGGTGAGGGAGGCCCGCCGAGGCAACGGCAGCGGAGGAACAGCGGGAGCGCCGCGCCGCCGCCGAGTTCAGCGCGGTGCCAGCCGAGCCAACGCGCCCCCGCCCGAGCCTCCCCTCCCGTGTCGCCAGGTACCCCCGCGGCGGGCGCGTCCCCGGGGACCCCACCCGCTGCCTCCCGCCCCGGGACTCGGTTGCGCACCACGGTGTTCAAACGGTGCCCACGGGACCTTCGCCGGCGGTGGCGCGGATGGTCGCCGAGGGAGCGAGGGGTCCCGGAAGGTCGAGCCCCCCCCCATGCCTCCCCCCTTTTCTCTCTCAACGCACGTTAGGCTATTATTTTTCAGCAAATAAAAATCTGGGCAATTCCAGCCAGAATCCTAATTGCTTTCATTTGGGGAGCAAGCAAGAGAGGAAGGGGCGAGGTGGCAAGGCGAGAAAAGACAAGCAGTTTGAAGAGTAACACGAGTATGAAGGGAGAAATGGAGTTGGAGCATCTTTCTAATTCGTGTGTGCGTGTGAGCGCGCGTACACCCCCTCTCCCTCCGGCGCCCCCTCGGCTTGCCGGCGTAAAGCCCCACGCGCGCTCCTGTCCCGAGGTGGCTATCCCTGGGCTCTGACCGTAGCGTGCGGAGCAGGTGTGCTGCGCGCACGGCGAGCGCTGATTGGCTGTGCCGACTACGGTGAAATACCTTGGACGTGGACCTGGAGTCCCGCAGCCTGCAGGGTCTCCGCGGGGTGCACGCCAGGCGCACTGCAGTTGCTCGGCTTTTTTTTTTTTTTTTTTTTTTTTTTTTACCGCGGGCTTGTGTGTTTCGCGTTGGTTTCAGGAGGCTACCCCACGGGGTGCGTGCGGTGAGGCCGCTGGGCAGCAGAGGCACCTCCCCTGAGAAGCCAGCAGGGCGGCGTCCCGCGGGGAGGATGAGCGGCACGGGCGCCCGGTCCAGCCACCTGTCCCAGCCGGTTGTGAAGAGCGTGCTGGTGTACCGCAACGGGGACCCGTTCTTCGCGGGGCGCCGCGTCGTCATCCACGAGAAGAAGGTGTCCAGCTTCGACGTCTTTCTGAAGGAGGTGACGGGCGGCGTTCAGGCGCCCTTTGGGGCCGTCAGGAACATCTACACCCCGCGGACCGGGCACCGCATCCGGAAGCTCGACCAGATCCAGAGCGGAGGCAACTACGTGGCCGGGGGCCCGGAAGCCTTCAAGAAGCTCAAGTGAGTCCGTCTGTCCCCCTCCGCCCGCCGTTTAAAGTTGCATTAAAGTGTGCGGTTCGCTCGAGCAAAGGCGTGAGCCCCGCCTCGCCCACCCGCGGTGTGTCCGGGGGCTGTGACTGCGCGGGTGGATGCCTCTCTCGGGGCTCCCGCTGCAGCTGGGGCGGGCGGGTTGAAAGTGTGCCTGGGGAAGGAATTTCATTTGGGTAGCAGGAGGAGTAGGAATCTTAGAAAAGCATTCAGGGACCAAACTGGTGCATTAGCGTTTTCTGTCCTGTTTTTTCTTTCCTCTTTTTTCTTGGCACCTGCTTTTTTGAGTTTAAATACGATTTCTTAAACATTATTGAGATGTACTGTATAGTGTGTAGTCACCAGAGGAGAATATTGCTTTCTGCACTCGGCCCCCCTCACCTGCTTCAATTCTTCCAAACTTTCATCCCAAGTAGAACTGACCACGCCCCACCGTTGTGACCCTCCTCCCGCCGCCTACATGTTTATGCTATTAGCCTAATGCTTGGAAAAGCTTACTGGCGTAAGGTATTTGCCTATATGTCTGTCTGTAGGTACTTGCTGGCTAGACCTTCAAGCGCAGGGGGTCAGGATGGGCGCTTACTCCCAGTTCCTGGCGGGGAGCTCACTCATGGTGGGCAGTGAGTTAGCACGCTGTGCTTGGATCTACCAAGCAAACAGAGATGAACAATATGTGACTCCTTGTTTTTAAGAGTTTGAGATCTAACAGGACAGAGACTACATGCGCACCGATAATTTTAGTGTAAGGTACAAAGGAACAACTGCAATTAGAAAAATAAAATTATGTGGAAGTTCGCAGTTGAGGGACATTGTTTCTGGTGGGGGTGGGTATTGGAGGACAGGTAGAGTTTAATATTCCATAGGATTTTATTTACACCTTTATTGAGATATATTTCACATAACATAAACTTTACCTATTTCGGTCGTTTTTAGTAGGTTCATGGAGTTGTGCAACCATCGCTACGAGCTAATGTTAGCACATTTCTAGCACTCCAAAACGAAACCCTGTCCCTCCCAGTTCCCGCTCCTCCCCATCCTCTGGCAACTGCTAATCTACTTATTCTCTGTCTCGATGGGTTTGTCTGTTCTGGATATGTCATATCAATGGAATCATACAACATGTGGCCTTTTGTGTTTCTGGCCTTTTTCACTTGGCATAAAGTTTCCCAGGCTTGTCCATGTTGTAGTGTGTATCAGCACTTCATTCTTTGTATTGTTGAAGAATATTCCACGGTTATGGATATGCCACATTTTGTTCATCCACTGATAGACATTTGGATTGTTTCACTTTGGGCTATTATGAAATAATGTTGCTAGAAACAATTGTGTGCACGTATTCATTTTTCTTGGTTATGTACCTAGGAGTGGAATTACTTTATGTTTCATAGTTGTTAATATAACATTTTAATTGAAATTTGGCTTGGGCCTCAGGATAGCAAAAAATTATCTTTCCTGTAAAGTCTAGACCTGTGAATTCTAATTTTCACTATACAGAAATATTTTCGCAAATATCACTAATGTCTCATATCCTTTTTCCTTTCCTGGATCTGCTTAAACTGAGTTCTGAGTGTTCTGCTTTTTTGTTCGGCTAGACATTCTTTTTAATGCGAGGTGACAGATACATTTGGATTTAGATTTCCCTTCTTGGAAACCTTCTTTAGCATACTTTGTCTAACTTCGTAGACAAGAACTAAATGAAGTGATGTGCTTCAAAGATACTTAGAACCTAAAAGTCAAGAGACATGATGCTGAGCTGTTTATCAGCTGTGTATCTTTGGGCAAGCCACTTGACTCAGCGAGTCAGCTTCCTGATAAGGACAAGGAGTGCATCCATGCCTGCCTCACTGGGTTGTTAGAAAAGTGAGTGCTATGGATGTGAACGTGCTTTGTAAACATCAAAATGTCATGTAAATACAAAGCATCACTATGTCCATGTACAATATATGTTTCATCATGTATTTTGTTGATTTTTTTTTAAATTAAATAATTCCCATAAAAAGCAGTTTCATGGGAATGGAACTCTGTTTCGGAATCTATTAACAGCTCAAAGTTGCAGACTCACTTTTGTAACTCATGTTCTCTTTTGTTTATTTGGCACTACCAGCTCAAAAGATAAAAACAGGTCCAGTTCCAAATCAAATAGAAAGTACACTTCAAGTCATTCTTTATATAGATATAAGAGATTTGCATGGTTATTTTTGCTTTTAATTCACATACAAAAAAACCCCGAGTTTGTTATAACAGTTTCCATGGTTAGTTTTCCATGCTGACAGATGATTAGTGTATTTATTTCTGTTAAAGTAGTAGTATCTATGGTTATGATAAGCCCAGAAGATTTAAATGCTGAATATATTTGAAGCTTAGCAGTTGCAAGTTTACATAACAAATGGGACAATTGACAGAACAAAAGAAAGCCCAGAAGATACTGAGGGTAATTTATGTCATTTAGGCCCTAAAGGATGTTGGGGAACTTAGCAATGGTAGAAAAAAATTATTCAAATGAAAATGATCAACTTCCTTCTTGAATTTCTTTCACTCAGATTTTTCCTAATATTTTTGAAACCATAATTAAACTTGAGGTAGCTATTAAATCTTTATTTTATTTTAAACTTTTATTTTAAACCTTTATTATAAATCTAGAGATAGTTATTTTCCCTGAAGTTTTCCTATGTGTTTTTGGAAGTTGACTCGATTTCATTAATCTTGTGGATCTGAGATCACTTTTCTGCACATGGCAGTTAAACTGTTTTTGCTCTTATGTCAGAAATCAGTCCCTGCAGATTTGCAAAAGAGCCTTTTTATTGCTAAACAGAGGGAGTTTTGCCTTATGTAAACACCGTTCATGTAAGAAAAATATAATTTCCAGTGGTATTGATTAAAGCATTCTATCTAAAAATGCAAACAATAAAACATAGATAAACTTAATTCTAATATAAACTCTTTTTTTTGGGGCAACGCAGCACTGATAGTAGTTGAGGTATCTTTGTATCTATGGTTGTGAATTAAATGCTAGATTTATACTTATTTTTTTATATTAAAACATTTATTACCACCTGCTATGTGTGAAGGACAGTGGAACCGGATCACGGTGATGGACTTAGGGCTTGAGGTTGACAAAAGTGTAGTTTGCAGGTTGTACTCATGCTATAGCTAAAGAAGGATCACTAGTTAATATCTATAACAACTAGTAATTTAGTAATAGGGGTCTCCAGAGGTTAACTAGTCCACTCATGTGCATTTTAGCCCAACCAATGCCTAACCCATCCCCCGTGGCTGAGCATTTCCGTATCATGAAAGTATTTTCTTTTTTTTTTAAGATTTATTTATTTATTTGAAAAAGAGAGAGAATGAGAGAGAGAGAGAGCACATGAGAGGGGGGAGAGTCAGAGGGAGAAGCAGACTCCCTGCTGAGCAGGGAGCCCGATGCAGGACTTGATCCCAGGACTCCAGGATCATGACCTGAGCCGAAGGCAGTCGCTTAACCAACTGAGCCACCCAGGCGCCCGTGAAAGTATTTTTATAGGGAAGAGGATTTCCTGCTCTTTCACAGATGGTCTAATGCATGCTATTGGTACTTCCTTTGTTGTTTGTTTGTTTTTAGATTTTATTTATTTATTTGAGAGAGAGAGTGAGCAGGAAGGAGAGGGAGAGAGAAAATCTGAAGCAGACTCCAAGCTGAGCCCAGAGCCCCATGGGGCTTGATCCCAGGACCGTGAGATCATGACCTGAGCCATAACCACGAGTCCTCGGATGCTTAACCTGACTGAGCCAGCCAGGCGCCCCAGTACTTCCTTTGTTTTGACCTAAAGGCTGTGATTAATGGAGCTGTTAAGGACTTGTACACCACAAACCACTCTTCCCATCAAAATCGGTTTAAGAATTAGAAATACCGCATAGATAGTCAGGGGCCAACCATTGTGGGGGGAAATGTTCTCTTGAAGAAATATGTGTTTCTAAGACTTCAGTTTCATTGACGTTGGGTGAAGAGGACATGTATCAGCTCGGGTTGGTGATGCTCAGAGCAGTTCCTACTACCCTAATTGCTTTCAATTGTTAGCTATTGATTTTTGCTTTAGGCTTAAGTATTTCCTAAGGCTTGCTTTACATTTTTATAATTTTTAGTAAGAAATTTACATAACTGACACAAAAGCAATAAAAGAAACCTTACTGTTTTGTTTTCCTCCCCCAGTTACTTGGACATAGGAGAAATGAAGAAGAGACCTATGGAAGTTGTTAATACAGAGGTAATGCAAACAATATTTTGAAGGTTCAAATAAATAACAATGCCATTTTTGTATTTCTTATAGCATGACTTAGAATTTGGGCAGCATTCTAATCATTTATGGACAAAGATATACATGTTCCAGGTTTTGCTTATGTTATAGCTGAAGAATGACCACTAGTTAGAATTGGCAGCAAGTAGTAAAAAGTACATCAGTGCATTGGTTCTGGATGGAATTTTGTTTGAAGGATATGCAACTGTTCAAAACAGGCTACCTTGCTTGAAATTGGTGACCAACGCTAAATTTCTGTGATAGAATTTGAGGTGTGTGAATTCTTTAAAAATGAGCATATATTTGTTCTGGTGCTCTGGATTCTACGTCTTTGATGAAGACATTGGCAACGTGCAACAGGTGTGCAATAAATTTTTCAAATACACTTCCTTAAAAAGCTCATCCTTCAGAGGGGAAGCATGCACAAGGACTCTAATTATGTGCTGAGTGTTCTTCTGCTGAGGATCAGTAGCTCTTGGTGTCTCTTACCGGCAGGTCTGTGCCCCAGCCCCACAGACAAGGTTCTGACTGATGGATGCACATCTTACGTGTGAGAAACCCACACCTTCCCTCCAGCTAAGAGACTGCATCTCTTGCACGTTATTTCTCACTGGTGAACCCCTCCTCTTCTCCTTTCTTCTAACCGCATAGACCCTGCTGTCACCTTTCAATTCTTCTCCACCCTTCCCCACAAAGCTTTCCAGAGGAGATAAAGAGAAAGAAGTAGAGGAAATTTGGGCATGCAGAGGAGATGAGAGAGGAGGGGAGAAGCAGCATGTCTGTGCTCTTTGACTACCCAAGTCCCGCTCCTCCCTGAAGCCCTCCCTCCCCCTTTCCCCCCCCAACCCCCCCTCCCAGTGTAGCCAAGGATGATTTCATCCCCCTTACCCTGCGTTCTCGGTCTTGATCTTCAGCACAGAGACCCTCCTCCCTAGAGTCCGTACCAAGGCCACACCCAACAGCTGCTTTGAGCAAGAGGAGGCCCTACTTTCATTGCCGGAACGGGAGAGTTTTGGGGTTCCCTGCATCCCAAGGGGAAGTGTGAGTGCCTTTTCTCATAAAGATATCACTCTAACTCTCGGTTCTACAGTATTACTCCTGTTGTTTGAGGTAGAGAACTAGCTTTTGTGAGCTGTTCCGAGAACCCATTATGTGTGTAATTCTTACTTTGGGGAAACACCTCTCTCTTTTCCACAACCGATGTATAATTAAACTTTTAGAATTCAACGAGTTTAAAGTTAGAGGACTATCTGTGTTCAAAATTTGAGAACAGACTTGATAGACACCAGCCTTTCACAAAAACTATAGAGGCTATTTTCTTTTCTTTCTTTTTTTTTTTTTTAAGATTTTATTTATTGATTTGACAGAGAGAGACACAGCGAGAGAGGGAACACAAGCAGGGGGAGTGGGAGAGGGAGAAGCAGGCTCCCCGCGGAGCAGGGAGCCCGATGCGGGGCTCGATCCCAGGACCCTGGGATCATGACCTGAGCCGAAGACAGACGCTCAACGGCTGAGCCACCCAGGTGCCCCATAGATGCCATTTCCTTGATCTAAGGTGGTGATTTCATTCAGCATTCGTGTCTCCCGAGAAAAGATGGCACCCCTTGTCGGAGGCGACTGATGACCACTATTCTTTGGAGGAAGATAGTGTATCTTACTCCCAGCCACAGGGAGAGATTCAGAGAATTCTTGAAGTGGGTCTAGAACATGGATACATAGAATCGGAGGGTGGAGAGTAGGTTCAAGGGCGGGGGGAGTTTCAGCGCAGTACGAGCACACACCATGCTTATTCAGAGGTGTTCCAGTATAAAGGGTGAGTAACGTGACTTATCAAAATGGGAGGCATTTCCCTCAAAACTGAGATAGTGTCATACTGTTCGAGTTGTCCGTGTTGGGCTACGTACTAAGGCCATCAGACCAGCGTACATGATTCACTTATCCTCATTGCTTAAACATATTAATTCTAAGAATCCCCAGCACACGTTACTCTAGAAAGACCCTTTACAGTTCAGAGGCATTCTGCTGAATGTGCAGCTTTGTGTCCTAGCCCCTGCAGCTCCTTTGCACACGTGGCAGGAAGCCCGGCCAGTGGGTACTGGGAGTTAGCCACACTCCTTCCCTTCTCCCAGAGCACCCTCACCCAAGCCCACAGTATGATCTGGGTGCTCTCTAGCTAGTTAATAATTTAGACACAGTGGTATCCACTTGCTGACCACAGGTCACAGTAATGAGAGTGTGCGTGTCACCTTGACATTTGAAGTCCTTTTGTGGTTTCCGCCATTGCTTTCCTGTTCCATGAGGCTCATCTTCAAAGAGACACTGAAAGGACAGCCAGGCCTGTTCCTCTTCCTGTCTGTGGCCATATCACCGGGACAGAGAAGGGCAGAAGTCTAATGGACCTCTTCCATTAACCATATATGCGGGTCTTGCTTTTACTGATATCCAGCTAAAGGAAGCTTCTAGATCAGGCTTGTACTCATGCCCCCAGTCCTCATGCATTTTCTATAGCTGCCTCCTCATCTTTCTTCCCACACTCCCTCCGTCAGTGGTGGTCTTAATAAAGATGGGTTGCTCATCTTCTGACCTTGGCAGCTCATCTCTTATTTATGTCTTCCTGGTCCTCCCTTTGCTTCCTTCTCCCCGCCTCTCAGCCCAGGTGCAGATCTCTTGTGATGCTTCCACGTTCCAAGTCAACCCAACCAGCTTTGCTCTTTCCTTGGCCACCTAAGCGGGCTGTGGGAGTCCTCTGTCCTCCAGTGTTAGAAACCTCTCATCTGCACATGGGATACCTTTCCTCTTCCTTACCGGCCCCACTGTGCTCTTTCCCTTTCGCTCTAACTGAATGAGCTTCTTGTTTCTCCACCTCATCCACTTTGCCTTCAAGGGATTGGAAGCCTGTACTGTGCAACACAGTAGGCAGAGCGCTGGGGGCAAAGCTCAGCAAGACACGCATAACCTCTCACCCCCAGGAATTTATAGTCTTGCTTAAAGATGGGTGTATGCCCATCTCTAGTACCAGACGATAAATGATTCGATTTGGTAGGGATTCAGTCCAGTTTGTGTGGCGCTGTTGATGTGCTCTTGACTCCATCATGTTGCAACAAAGTTGTTTGTGAACCCTTCAAATGGAAGCTCCCTTCTCTGACATAGAGTTGTCGATCTCGCCGGTCATCCTGCCCTGTGTAGCGCATCCTTCCGAGCAGGATGGTATTAATAGTCACCTGGAGAGCATAGTCTGGTTTACCACATGAGAGGCCTTGGTGCACGTCATATAGAAGGGGACTAGTAGATGGCTTGGCTCCGGAGCACATGTGCTGGGCTGGGGGCCGTGGGGGGCGCCAGGCAGGAATGAAGCCTTCACCGCTCTTCCTCTTGAGGGGTGTAGGGTCTAGGGGAGGAGACAAGGAAGCAAATCCACCACTGTTACCCAGGGCACAGGTGCTGGGCTAGAGCTTTGCTCGGAGGACTGAGGAACTGCAGATGGGATTCGGGTTATGGGTCAGGATTGTTCATTTTTCGCCTGTTTCTCTTAGATGAAGGTTTTGAGAAGGTCCCTTTCTACAACTTGATTAAGGGGGATTACTTAATACTCACATCTGTGTAAGAATCAAAGCCTGTCTCTTACTGAGGGAGTGGAAGTCAGCCGGGATAGCAGAGACAGAGAAATCCTTGCCTTCAGTCGGGCTTGCAGGATGGACCCGCAGCAAGCCAGCTGCAAAGTTAGCCGACGACATCGCTCCTCCCATGGTCGTGTGACCCCTCTCTAAGTGGTTCCCGCTTTTTCACTGCCGACGGTCCAGGCCTGCTTTGCACTGCCCATATTTTCCTGGGAGTTCTTTAATTGCTCAACTGTCCTCACCTCATAACAACCCCCGGTTAATCTCCGCTTCTCCTGATCTCACCTCCAAACTGCAGTCAATCCAGAACTGAATCTGCTTCCCTTAGGCACGGCTTCAGAATCCTTTGAGAAGCCAAACCTTACAAAAGATGATTCCTTCCTCCCTCTTTCTCAGCCTTGTCCTGTACTTTCTCCAAGTGCTGTCCCCGGCTGCACCACATCAGTAAATATGATTTCATGAGACTATGAGTTTGTCCCCATTTCTGGTTAGTCTTTAGCTGATTGGGCTTGAACGCATGCCTCAGACCTGCCTGTTTAAATTGTAAGTCTCTGGGAGGTCTGCTAATTCTGCAGAGTACCTAGCGTTAATAGGCTGAATTCCCTATACTTTCAAATATTCCTTACCAACAGTTAAGAGAGACATCTCTTTGCCTCGTGCATGCCTGGTTGTTCCAAGTTTCCCATACAAGCGGGATGTTGCAAATAATTTAAAGGTCTGCATGGCCGCCATCTACTTAGGTTTTGTTGCAGGGCTAAAATTAGCTGTAGTTAAACCTTTGTGTGATACATTTATTGTCTCTCCAGTGTAATTTGGAGAGTTGTATGAAATGAATGTTATTCACTTCACAAGGATTGATTGTGTGCCTACTATGTGCTGGACTTTGTGATTGTCCCCTGGGAGCCAAGCAACATGGCCCCCGCCCTCATGGATTTGACTATCCTTTCGCCTCTCTTGCTTGCTAGGATTGATTTTAACTCCGTCGGCAATGATCTTTGTTGAAGAACTTGTACATTGGTTTGGTTCAAGGCCCTCATTTTGAGGGCTAGATGGTTTGTGAGCTGGATGTCAGACTTCCCCATTATTAAAGATGCCTTGGTCTCTTAGGCCAATTCAGGCCTGGGCCTTTGGACTTTCTTCTTGGTCCCTCTGTCTTCTCTCCCTCTGTCTGATTCTTCTCTGCTCTACCACCAATGCAGTTTCCATTGATGTCTAATACAGAACAACCTGGAGCTCTCTTTTCTTGAATCTTGCTAGTCTGTGTTCTCAGAGTCAGCAGAAAAGATCATTTTTGCCCATTTCTCACATTTATATTTATGAAAAGAATCAAGGATCTGTTTGGTTTTCTCCTTC